TCGCTCGGTGCAGAAGGGCCTGGGGGTGTTTCCCAGCTCCTCCCGGCTGGTTCCTTCCCCCCCTCCACACGCACCTGCTGCAGCTCGGGCAGGGGCAGCAGGTCCGTGAGCTGCTCCCGTGCCCAGGTGAGGACCCGGCTCAGCCGCAGGGAGCAGAGCCCCTCAGGAAAGCACAGCAGTGGGAACAGCCACCAGCCCCCCTGCAGGGGCAGGAACAGCATTTACAGAGAGGAATCAGGTTAGAAAAAATAACCACGGCTTTATTGGGAAGTTTCGATTCAAAACTACACGAGGGAGCTGAAGAACAAATGACGTGTTTATTCCAGGTTTCCACCCACCACAAGAGTGACAACTCGCTGGACTAGTGGGAAGCACAGGGAGGACGTTCCTCGCCCCAGCGCGGGGATGTTCTGCCCAACATCCAGCCCCACTCTCCTCTTCACCTCCTTCCGTGTTTTCCCTGGAAGCTGCTCGTTTCCTCCTCACACAGACCTTGAGCTGCACTTCCCCAGGTCCCCAGCACAGTGTGGGTGGCACACGGCACAACGCCCAGGGGTTCTGCTAATGAAACAGTCTTGGCCCCTTCCAAGGTGGGATTTCTCCTCCCTCCTTGGTCAGGTTCTTCCTCCCCTGGAGCTCCAGCACTGCCAAGCCCAGCACCCTGCTCAAAGGAGGTGCTGGCTTTTTAATTAGCAAACCCTGTTAATTGCCAGAGCAGCATTCATAACAGTCATCACCAACTTCCACCTTCCCTCCTGAAAGATCTCTCCTTCATCCAAGACTTATCCCTACACCTTCTGCTTCCCACCAGCCCACTCAAGAAGGAGGCCAAATCCAGCCTCCCACACTGACCCACTTTCTCCCTGCTCTGGGGACAGAACAGCCCTCACACCCCACTGGATTTGATTCCAGCTGGAAAGCCCAAGGAATGGGAAACCCCCACCTGCAGCAGAGGCACCTCAGAGGGGCCAGCAGCTGCCAGAATGGCAGGAGGAGGGTTGGCTAACAGTCCAGTGGAGAGGTGGCCCAACCACCCTCCAGACACAGGAACTTCTCTACAAGGCCCCAGGCTTTGACACAACTAGCTTAGCAAGCAGCTGCAGACTATGTTTCCTCACGTCTACCAAACCCTTCAAGAGATCATGTCCCATCCCACCCCCATTTCCTAGCCTAGACCATGGTTTAGGACAGGCCTGACTGTCCCAGCTGCTTCCCAGGCAGCAGAACCATCCACCAAGGAGCGTGGGCAACATCTCACCATGACCACACTCCTCAGGATCTGCTGGGGAGGGAACTCCCAAAACAGTCCCCCCCCCAAAAAAAAGAGACATCTGAGGAAAGACAGACACCCTGGAGAGCAAAGCCACCCCTTGGTGCTTGGGTTTCCAACAGACACCTCCTAGTTTGGGATGGAAGATGCAGACCCAGGTTGGAGGTGTTTCTGTGAACACTTCTTTTGTGCCATGAAGAAATAAAAAGATTTGGTTTGTTCCAGCCTGACAGAAACATCAGAGATGGTTACAAATCTAGGAAGAGGGGCCAATGTTGACAGCAGTGAACGTGGGCCTGGCACGTCTCGGGGATTAGGCAGAGGATTTGCTCTTCCAGCTCTTGCCTGGGAGGCTGCTAAGCAGCATTATCACCAGGGACCAGCTCCCCTGGCAGAGCCAGGCAGCAAGGACAGTGTGACAACCCCAGCAGGACACATCTCCCTGCATCCCCACCCTCCCTTCCCATTTCCAACAGCTTGATTCCCTCCTGGAATCAACCAGTGGAGCAAACACTGGTTTCTTGTGGGTTGTTTTTTTTTCCCCCAGGCTGGATTAAAAAAAATAATAATAAATCAATACTCCTGGACTGCAGAGCTTTCCTTTGTGTTTGTCAGGCTCTCCAGCCCCAGCTCTGCACTGGCAGCAAAGGGGTGAGCTGTAGCTGACAGCAGGGTCTTCCTGGTGACAACTGGAAAGCTGCTGCTGTTCTACTGCTATTGATCTAAGCAGAATACAAAACACCTGAAGTCAGCAGGGAAAATAGCTGCAGTTGGAAAAGAAACTGCAGGGAGGGGGTAGGGGGGGAGCAGGTAAGAAGTTTTCCATGCATAAAATTAAAGGCTGGGCTTCTTCTTGCAGCTCTCCTGCCTGCTGACAATACTGGATCAATGGAGAGAGCAGGGATGCTGTTTTGTAAGCTCTCTTTTGATGAGAAACAAAAGGTTTCACTCCTGCTCCTGCCAGCACCTTCCACTGATGGCTCCTCTCTCCCATGGCAGCTCTACCTCCCTCCCATCAGCCCAAAACATCCTCAGGACAAGGATGTTTGCCTGCTCACTGCAGGTGCCAGGACATCACTCGAACCCTGGAGACAAGGAGACCTTCTGAGAGGAGAGCCCATCTGCTCTGGGAAAGGACCAGCCCAGCCCACACACACCAGTTTGGGTCTGTCCGTGGCTACCACAGGAGCTCAGCCTGGAAGGGATTCAGTTCCCTCCCCTTTCTACCTGGGCTCCTCTCTGAGCCTGAAAGAAGCAGGCACCCAGCCAGCTCCTGTTCCTTGGGAACCTTCCCTGTTGTGACAGCTCAAACATTCCAGGGACTGGCAGAACCAAACCACTCAAGGAAGAAGATCCCCTCCCCCTCCTGACATTGACAGCCCAGGCAGCACAGCGTGCTGGGGACTCTTAAAATGTCACCGAGGCACAGGCTGACGGAGGGCACACCAAGGCGTCCTTCCCCCGCCCTGGAGGTGCTGCTGGGCTGGGTTGTTCTGCCTCTCTGCGCTTCCTTCCCTGTGCTCTGTGCCTGCTGCAAGCTGACAGCCTCTGGTGGCCCAGCCTGAGCCAGGGGAGTCACTCTCCTCTCTCTGGATGTTGGTGCTGCTCAGGGGAGCAGGAACAGGGAGCAGGAACAACCACAGGCTCTGTCCGCTCATCCCTCAGCCACTCAAACCCCTCAGCTTTAACCTTCAGGGCTTTTCTGCTTCCCTGGCACTTGAAAGCTGCATTTCCTTCTCTCTCCCTCCCCAGTCCACACAGCCAATCCCACAAGGCAACTTTGCTGTTTAAAGGAAAAGCCACCAATGTCTCAGGGACAAGGAGCACAAGACAGAAGAGCTCCAAGTGCAGGTCAGGGTGGTTCCCCAGCTCTGGAATCCACCTTCTCTCCCTGCCAGTTCCCCAGCAGCCTCCTGCAGCAGCAAGGCCTGAACGAGCTACAAGAAGCACACCACTCACAGGACCAAATTCCTCCCTGCAACAAAGAGCAGGCAGTTTTCTGCCATCCTGCTCCCATTTTGCTCAGCCAGGAGCCATCTTGAGCCCTTGGCTGACTTGCTGCTGGCTCTGCAAACAGTGACATCAGAGACAAATGACTCTTCCTCTCCCCACATCCCCGAGCATGTCAGTCCTCTCCCTTTTCAACCCCATTCCCTTACCCCAAATTACAACGAAAACTCTTCTTTTTTTCTGGCTCCTTCTAGCTATTCCCACCCACCATTTGATCCCTCAGCTTCACTTCCTCTTTGTCCAACCATTTCAGTCCCAAGATCTGACCTAATTAGCTGATTGCCAATTCCAGCTATGGATGCACATTGCTTTGTCAGAGCAGAGCTGTCTTTTCAAGGGATCATTTTTGATCAGGCAGGATTCAAAATGAAGAGGCTTCCAAAGACCTTCAGCTGAAAGGTGCCCAACAGGAATTGTCTTCTTTTTTTTGTTTTTAAGAAAAGAGTTCAAACAGATTCTGAAAACAGCAAAAAAAAAAAAAAGCAGGTTGGTTTTCCAACTCTTCCTTAAGGCCTGGCTTTCTGCAGCTTGGGAGGGTGGGAAAAGTGTTTGGGAGGTTCTGCAGCAGGAACCCAGAGGAAAAAGGGAGTTTGGGATACCCTGTAGCAAGGGATCATCTCTGGGGCTGAATGTTGGTGTCCCTGCCCAAGGGTGAGTCACTTTAAGGCAAGGAGTGTGTTGTTCCTGGCAGTGGAACAGCTCCAAGGATCAGTCAGGGACATGGTGACTCTGGCAGGTGACCCTGGCTCTGCCCCACAGCCTGTGTCACCAGGGCTCTGCTTCTCAGGGCAAGAGGCTCTTTAGGAAGAGCTGAAAGGCAAGGATGGGCTCGTTTTCCCTACCCAGCTTTTTGTCCCCCCTCCCTGCTCACCTCTAACTCGGGTTCAGTGGGGACTCAAAGAGGATTTTACCCATTTTATCCCCCACCCTCACACACCATGACTCAGAGGAAGGAACTAACTCCATTACAGCACCAGCCAGCTCTGTAAGATGTGTTCATCACTTCTCTCCTCCCCAGCAAGCCCCAGGCTGATCCTCACCCCAAGGTCTGCAGCTCTATCTCCAAACCCAGCTGGAGGTGTCCCCAACACAGCCCCAGCCCCCACTCCACTGACAAACCAGAGCTCCCACACCTGGATAAACAAGCCTCAGCACTAACTCAGTAGCCACCACAGCTTCTGAGCCATGTTTCAGCCTCCCCAGCCTCCTTCCCACTCAAATTCCCTGGAGTCTCTACTCTCCATGCTGAACAGAAACCACCCAGCCCAACCAGGGCACCCTCCACCCACCCTTGTCCACCTCCACAGAGGACAAAGGTAGAACAAAGCCAGAACAATCCCCCAAACAAAATGAGACCAAGAAAGAACTAGAACAAAGACTTGTTTAATTGCTTAACCCTTTTTTTTCCTCTTCCAGAGACCAGAGAAACAAGTTTTCTGCTCCTTCTAACGAGGGCAGTAAGGCTTGTGTGTTACTTCTACGACTGCAGGGGCAAAGTTCATGAGATGATCATCTTTAGGACTTGAAAAAAGCAAGAAGCAATGGTCACTGCAACACTAGGAGAGTCTCCTAAAGGAGAGCCCATTGCCAGAACACAAAAATAAAGGAGGCATCCCTGCACATCCCAGGGTAGAAAGAGTTAACCAGAAAGAGCAGGAAGAAGCTTTCCCAAAGAGGGGGTTGAAGTAAACAGCAGAGGTCAATAAAGCAACATCTTCTCCCTACTTCCCCAGCATGTTTTTTGTTTTTTCTCTTCACCAATAAATACAAATTCCTCATTAACAAAGCAGGTGATCTGCCCACCAAGAGGAGAAAAGGGGCCAGAAGCAGAAAGGTGGTTGTTTGTTTTTTTTCTATCCCCTTCTCACCCAAGTTTTTTTTTTTTTTAAACAAAACCAGCCATTAGAAAAAAAAAAAAAGCAACCCACTGCAGAGGCAGGGAATTGTGCAGCTTTCTCACTGCAACTGGCAGGTAAAAGAGCTGCACTGTCTCACCAAGGTAAAAAGAAAACAACCCCAACACAAAAAAAATAAATAGCTGCCACAGCAAAAAGGTGAATGGGGAGGGAGAGGGCTGTTCTCTTCAGAGCTTTCCATCTCAGTCTCTCAGTTTAAAAAAATCAAAGGCTGCAGACATTTGTCTACTGAAAGCTGAAAAAAAAAAAGTTTGAGTGGGAGGAGAAGGGAAGGGGGGGAGGGAAGAGGATGCACGTAGTAGAAAAGCCTTAAGCAAAAGAAAAGGCCAGAGCATGTCAAAAAGCCACCCAAGTGAGAAGGATTTTCTGTTGCCTCTGGGTTTTGAAGAGCATTGAGGGCTGGGGTCCACTTGGGGAGCTGGTACACAACCAAAGAGGTAAACTGAGCAAGCAGTTGTGTCTGCTGTGCTGCTGCTGCTGCCTGAAAAGAAGCCAACGTGTCCCAGGAGAGCTCTGCTTCAG